CATGCTGGCGAGGTTGTGGAGAAACTGGAACCCTTATTCACTGTTGGTGGGAGTGTAAAATGGTGCAACCACTGTGGAAGGCGGTATGGCGCTTCCTTAAAAAGTTTCAAACAGAAATATTATTTGGCCCAGCAATTCCACTACTGGGAATTTACCCTAAAGAAACCATAACTGCCACCCAAGCAGATATATGCACACCCATGTTTATTGCTGCTTTGTTCACAATAGCAAAGAATTGGAAACAATCCAAGTGCCCAACAACAAATGAATGGATAGAGAAGCTGTGGTATAGTCACATAATGGAATATTTCACTGTGAAATATTATACAAAATGGGTGACCCTGGAGGACATTACGCTGAGTGAAATAACTCAGTCACAAAAGGACAAATAGTGCATAGTGCCACTGTTTTAAAAAGCAGGACTGATATTGGGGTTGGGGGGGGGAAACTAAGAAAAGAAGGATAAACAATGTACAATGCATTGAAACAGATGAGGGAGAGAACTGTTGGAAAGGAATATATAATTAGCTATTATTTTCATTTCAAGAATCCGGAATAAGAGCTGCAGGTCCAGTGGAATAGGGCGGGGGTGGTGGTGGTGGTGGTGATGGTGTGTGAATAGGGAAGGACTGTATAATAATGAAATTGTGTTTTGTGTTGGTTTTTTGTGGTTTTTTTTTTTTTTTTACTTTTCCGAGAGAAAAACCAACTAGGGGGAGGGATGGACAGGGAGGAAAATGTGTAATAATGAATGAATGGAAATCCAAAGTCTCTAAAAACTTTCATTAAAATTTCAATTAAAAAAAAAGAAAGCAATAAGAAAGCTTCTCAGACTCCAAAACCTGCTGGTCACACCATTCCTGGGCACTCTGGGGTGGCTGAAGCTATGGCCAGTCCAAGGGGTTAAAGACAGGATGGAAACTGAAACAAATGTGAACACATGCAGGAATGAATGCTAGAAAGCCTCTCACTGTAAGGAAGCCCAGTCGCTGCCTGGATAGTCACAGGTGGAAACAAAGAAGAATCAAATATGCTTCCTGCTCTCAAGAGGCTTCCATCTCCAGATGTCTCTTCGAGGTGGAGGCTGGGAAGCAGACCTCCCATTTTTAAAGCACATCCTGAACCAGGTGGCAGTGGGCCAAGAATGACTTAGTGCGGTATTACGAAAGAAGAGAGTCTCGGATCAATCTGTGCACAGAATGCTGCGTGGTATTTCCGCCTTGAGCAACAGCACGTGACCGTGGACTGAAGGCCCCGAGCAGGTGCTCCCCTAACCCACCTGGCCAAAGAACCCTTGCGAAGGCAGCAGGCCGCTCTTAACATCACCCAGCATCTACGTTCCAGGAAGCACTGACGGTAAATGCTGACGTAGTGGCCTGAGGATGAATGGAGCCCCGTGGTGCACTGTACCCACCCCACGGGGACACTGAGTCCTGGAGCTTGGCCTGCCACTGCCCAGGGCTGACCCTTGCATTCTCCTGCCCGTGCCTTGGTTTCCCTCGTAATGACATGGGCATAATCCTGCCAGCCTGACAGAATGTCAGGGACAAGGACACAAGGCGAGAGTGAACAGATGCCAGGGGCCATGGGGAGATGTAAATACCAGAAGCCATCACCGTGACTCAGGATTGGCGGGCACTTACAGGCTGTCTAATAGGCCGTGTCTGCTAACGAGGGGGGGCAGATGACAGCCCCCAGAGACCACACGCTTCAATGCCACGTAAACTATTCCTGGAAAGAAACAGCCTGGCTTCCCATAAATGGCCAAGGTACAGCCCCATATCCTGGGTGGCGCACGTGATGTGGTGTGGACGTGGGAAATGGCAAGGAAAGAAGGACTAAAAACCTGTGCACAAAGAAGCCTGAGAGAACTGGCTGTGGTCCCAGGGAAAGGGAGACAAATCTCTCAGCCTCTTCTGTGACAAGTGCAACATCCACGGTTCATCCTCCACACATAGAGGAGGCCCAGAGGGCAGAGAGAACGGGACCAAGGGAGGCTGACTGGCTTCTAAGCCTGGCTCAGCCATGCAAGAGCTTTGAGCAGGTTCTCCCTCCCCGATGCAATGTCCTGTGAAATGGGCTAGTAAGAACTGCTTTAGAGGGATGCTGACAGCCCTGAATAGTAGAAATGGCTATTTGTGACTACCACCTCAATGCTGGCGACGGGACCCCACGCCGTGACACCACAAAAGACAGGTGTGAAGATCTGCTCCCATAAACAAATCTGCTCCCAAGAAAACCCCAGCAGACAGTGCTTCTCTCGAACATATGGATTTGTGATGAGTTGGAATTAGCAAGACAATCATGGTTTTAGTTTTAGGGGGATGTTATGAAGATTAAAGTTTCCCTGGGTGACACAAACAATTTCTGTTCAGCTGCTACTTAAAGGCTGAGTTCAAATCCACCCTGCAGCATTGAGGAAGAGACGTCTGGTGACTGACCTCAGCAGGACCGTGCCAGTGAAAACCCTAGCAAGCACAGATGTACTCTGGTACACATGCGGTCACCACGGGAGCTGACTCCATGGCAACAGGGATGACGATGAAACAAGACTACCCGACAAAGAATAAGAACTCAGCAAATATCACCTTCAAACAACTTCAACTTATTGACCATCACTTAATAAGATTACATCTCTCTCTCCTTTCCCTGTAAAACACACAGATGAGTCTTCCTGGCTCCTGGGCCTCACCTCCAAGGTAAATCATGTTACCATGAATTAGTTCTATTACTTTCATGTTTCCAAAGGATCAGTTCTATTTGTACCCAAACCTGTTTACAGCGGACATACTTGCTTTTGCAATTGTACAACTTGATTCCTCTGTATATAAACTAGGGAGCTCTGGTGACACAGTCCACAGGAAGCTGTGATGCTCAGCAAGGTGGTGCTCTCCTGTTAGTCTGAACCTCCCAGAGGCTCTGTGGTGAAGAGAGAGGCAATCTCTTCCCATGCGATTTACAGCCCCCAAAGACCTGCTGAAGGATCAGCTGTTCTGACTCAATGACAATGAATTTAAGCTTGAGTTTTATGTAAGCTATTAAATAGGAGTATGAAAAGAATATAATAATTGTTTACATGAAATTATGGCTAGCATTGGATCCCCTGGTTTCGACTGTGCTGTGCTACTTCCGGGGCCAATTTTCCCCAGGGATCCCCCTTCCCTGTTTTTTGGCATGTCTATCCCCCAGGTTTCTGGTTTAACAGGCCTCAATCCCCTCCCTCTGAAGCCAGGCTGGTGAAAGCCTCCCACAGTCAGGGATGAGGGAGCATAAGCAGGGGTCCTCAGCTCTCGAAGCTGGCAAGGCAATGCTGGGGCAGGGAGTACCTGAAGAGCTCCTCAGAGCGGTCCCTCTGGCCCAGGCTGGACGCAGGCCCTCTGCTCTCATGGGCGGCAGGTAGCAGTAAGGGATCACCCAGGGGTACAGCCCCGCCAAGGTCAGGGTCATCAAACAGCTTCAAGGCTGCAGAGAAGGCAGCAGCAGTGAGGTCAGAGGGCACCCTGGCTGGTCCTCTGCTCTTAAGGTTGCCAGGTGGAGACAACCTGGCCTGCTTCCTGACACAACCAGGAGAGAGAGGAAGGGATTCAGCAGAGTATAGAAAAACCAAAGAGTGAGGCCAGAATCAGGGCATAGGATGGAGAGAGAGCAGGAGGCTCAGCCAGGGTCTGTGACATCTGTCAACCTCAGTCCACCTTCCATATGCTGGCTGGAAATCTTTGATGGCTTCTGTCCAGGTGTCAGGCGCTTCCTCCATGGCTTTCGGGAGCAGGCAGCTGCTTAAGTGCTTTGTGCAAGGCACTTGAGATCCAATCCATTTGGCATCTCTTAACTCACCATGTCTTGCTGTATTCACCTTTCAACATATATTTGCAGAATCACCCATGGGGCTGCTCTGCTGGAGCAGAGGGGAGCAGACCCTGCTGGTGGGAGCCCCTGCAACTTCCAGGAGTCTGTGCTATAACCCCACAGCCCACGCCACATGCTGAATCACTCAATGCTGCCCTTGATGAAAGCTGATCCCCGTCCTCTTTACCTGGAATCGATTTCCTCAGCCTGGAACGGAGCCCTGATCTTTCAGGATCCAGCTCAAGTGTCAGCCACTCCAGTGCCACCCTGGGGAGTCTTCTAGGCTTCCTCATGTGGACACTGAGACGGGCACAGACTTATGCACCTGGCATTATGCCCTGTCTCCTCCAAGGGACAGGGAGCTCTGGTGGCCTAGTGATAAGAAGCTGTGCTGCGATACCAAAGGTTTGTGGTTCAAATCCACCAGCTGCTCTGCGGGAGAGGGATGGGTAATCTCCTTACTGATGCTGAAAACCCACTGGAGGGTCAGCTGTCGGTCAGTTCTGACTCAATGGCACATAACCAGAACAACCACCTTAAGGACCGGCCCTAGGCCTTAGTCATCTCTGTGTTTCCAGTCTTTACACAGGCCCTGGTCCTAATGGTGGGCTCCAGTGTCTGCAGATCATTGAGTGATATCAACATCCCACCCTGGGTATAGTCCTGGCTAGGGGAAAAAGAGAAAGACCCAGGAGCTCTTTGAAGCTCCAAGGCATTCAGCGTCTCTTCCACCTCTGCAGGGAATGCTCTAATGGGGTCTATGTGGACAACACAAACCTCTCAGGGTGACCCCAAAGTGTCACCAGTATGACGGTGACAAGGCCTGAGTCCATTTTCCAGACACAGTGCCTGGAGGCCCCCAGCGCCCACAATGGGCTGCAGATAAAAGGAAGCTGCTTTTATTTAAATCACAATCTCCACCTTAAAAAGTAACAGGCAACACTCTCACTGCCTGTGGGACGTTCAGCATTAATGTGGCTGTTAGTAGCCATGGAGTCGACTCTGACTCAAGGTAACCCCATGCGCAGAGCAGAACTGCCCAGGCCGGGAGCATTCCAGTGTGAGAGGCCACTGGGTGCGAACCCTCATTTTCTCCAGCAGAAAATCTCCTTAAGCTGAGTCTAAACAAGACTGAAGGAGAAGATGCCCATCCCAGCATGTATATGGTGGGTTACAAACAGGGGAGAGAGGGTCACGGAGCAGACACCAGGGCTCACGTGGCTTGACTTACGATCTCCAGGGGATAAATCCTCCTTGGGGCCTTGTGGGTAGGGCTTCCTGCTGTGGCCAAAGAGCCCCTCATCAGGGTCCACCTCCTCGTCAAAGATGGTGAGCCGGGGTGCGGGCTTGGCCTTAGGTTTGGTGGCCACTTCCACGTGTTTCTTGGGCTTCTTGGAGCTGAGAATCAGACAAAACTCAAGGTTAGCATTATTGTAGAATGAGTATGAGGATCCAAGGGGGGAAGGTGGGAGCAGAGGGGTGAGGGTGGACAGAGAGGGGGCAGTTAATCATAGAATCGCACAATTTCATGAGTGAGGGAAATGGGAAAAACAATGTATCCTAACTTTGTAAATAAACCAGTATAAAATAATAATTAAAAAAAATCCACCAACCCCCAAGGTTAGGATTTCTCACAAGAGTCCCACCAGCTTGGCCTGAGTGACTTGGTCAGGTCTACACTGGTGGCCAGCTGGACTCGGAGGGTCAGAGAGGTTCAGTGTCCCTGGAAAAGCCCAAGACAGAGCATGGAAAGGCAGGAGTAATCCAGGCTGGAGAAACTGAGGGAGTGGAACAGTGCAGAAGAGGGAAACCTGAATGAGGAGGCAAACGGACAGTGAGCAAGGGGAAAGTTTCAGTTTATATCAGGAAGGAAATGTCTAATGACCTGAAAGTGGGAGGGTCAAGATCCCAGTGACTATAGGAGACCACAGACAGGGCCAGGGTGTCCAACAGACTGGACTGGACCACCAGCTTCCCAAATGATTCCTGGCCCTGACCTCCACTCCCACCTCCAGCCCACATGGGTTTCGCGCAGTTATTGGTTCGAGAACATGCCGTCTTCCCAAAGACTGGCACGGCTGCCTCGTGTTGGCACTGCCTGGAACAGGCGCAGGGAGCCCACCCCACAGACACTCTGCCACCTGACAGGTGTGCAGGCTCGGCTTGATCCAGGCAAGAGCAGAGGCGGTCTTTGTAAATAAAATGCTCGTATTTCCTCACAGGTATCCGTTTTCACCTCGACAGGTGTCGCTAGCCTCTACTGTTCTGGTAAAACGTCTTTCAGTAATCATGTATTTGCACTTTCAGAATCCAGCAGGCAAACCCAGCCTCCTTCAGGAAATGCTTTCGGTAGCCATGACGCCCCCGCTTCGCTCTCACCAAGAAATCCTGCTGCACTCATTCAACGCCTGGCTGCTGCCGTGCTCTGGGCTGTGCATTACTGTGGAGCAGCCATGAGGGGCTCGAGGGCAGCTTTCCAGGGAGGATGCTGCGGTTGTTATTAGGTGCCCTCGAGCCGACTATGAACACCAGATGGAAACCTTGCCCCGTCCTGCAGCATCCTCAGCACCTCCGCCACGCTGAAGCCCGTTGTCAGTCACTGCACCAATCCATCTCTGAGGGTCTTCCTCTCTTTCGCTGACCCTGTACCTTTCCCACTATGATGTCTTTTTCCTAAACACTAGCCCCTCCTGTCGACATGCCCAAAGTCTATGACACAATGTGTGTGTAGGGGGGTGCTCTATTTCTAGACAGGGGTGGAGGGTAAACAGCATAACATCTGTCCATGTAAAAACCAGAGCTGTGCAATGCAAATCTATACACACCATTCACTGCAAGTTATGCCTCAAGTAAACAGAGAGAACCAAAATGTCAGGTGCCATTGATTTGGACTCCAATTCAGGGGGAGCCCAAGAGTGTCGGAGCAGAACAGGGCCCCACAGGGCTTTCTGTGGCTGGTTTACCGGAAGCAGGTCACCAGGACTTTCCTCCAACTAGTCTCTAGGTGCTCTCGAACCCCCGACCTTTCAATTTGTTGCTAAGTATGTTAATCATCTTCATCACCAAAGGACTCTGGATAGATAGGTGACTGGTAAACTTTTTAAAAAGTGACTCAATCTCTACTGCTGATGCCTAAATTAGCCATTTTAAGGTTCCTGCAAATAAGAATATGCTTTTTACAGGAATCAGTGAAATTTCCGCATGCTTGTCTGCGTGGTGGGTAGTTCCAGTGGACTTAGGTCAGCGTCTGAGTTCATGTTTACAACACAATGTGGCAAAACTGTGTTCAGAGGCTGGTTCTGCCCTAAATAATCATACAGATTAACCAGAAGTGGATAAAAATAGCAGCACAGTCAGGGGTGCTGGGCGGTAAGGGCACTGGGAGACGGCCATTCCCACGGTCTGCACTTACACGCCTCCTGGCTCCCAGCACCAGGGCCTATGAGATAGAAACCTAGAGAAGTTGGGGGTGCTTCCTGCTGGAAGGCCATGGAGCTGAGCTCATCTTCCTGCTCTGGACACAGGTCCTAGCAGAAAGATCGCTGTTAGGTCTAATCTGCCAGATGAGAAAACAGAGAGACTGAGCGTTTGTGCAAGGCCACACAGCAGACAAGAAAGGAATGTCAGTGACATGGTCCTATGCTCCTGCCCTTTCAAAACGTCCCATACCCAAGAAGGAGACACAGGATGGCAAGAGAGTAACAGAAGTCGCTGGGTGGCTCACAAGAATAAGCAGTCAGCTAGCAACTGAAAGCTGGCGGGATGAATCCACCCAGAAGTACCCTGGAAGGAAGCCCTGGAAATAAAAACGTCAGTGTTGCAAACTACACAGAGCAGATCTACTCTGTACCTGCTGGTATCCACTGGACAACTGTTTTGTTTTGTTTTAAAGAGGATAACGGGAATTATTCCATTATTGTTCTATGAAGCGAGAATGGACATTTCACAGGCAGTGTCTGAGACAGCCCCTTACAGGTGCTTTGCCGGTTAGCCACAGGATTGGTACTTGCTCTGTTCCAGGCCCAGATACAAGGTTAGGCCTCTGTTTCTGCCAAGAACATCTTCCAGAGGCTCCGCATGAGGTGCTGGGTGCAGGGTTTCCAGAAAACTTCAGCTGTGGCTCTTTATACACCTTGAAGGGTCAGGGCTCAGCTGCTATGGCCTGCTGATACAGGACTCTTCCCCCAGTGGTGGTTTTGTTTCTTTATTGATTTTTTTACTTGAAATGCATCCTCTATTGTTTTCAGAATAGCACCGCCCACAGATTATCACAGCCACAGCCCTGGAGAAATGGGTATCAAATAAAGGGCAGCACCCCCAGTGCCTGGTCAGTCAGAACTGTCCAAGATCAAGTGAATTAGAAACAAAAGGAGATTTCCAAGAAGCTGTGCTTGTGTCTGCTGTGAACTCTACTGATCAGTCAGGGTGATCCCATGATCAGGCAGGCACTGGGCCAGCTCAGGGCCCCTTAGTCCTTTGATTCCAGCAAACCCCTTCAGGTCCTGGATGTGGAGCAGTGAAGGCGAGGGGCTGGCTGAGGCCTCACAGCTCCACACCCCTGCAGTTCTCCACCATCCTGCTACAAGGCAGCCAAACACAGCATCCTAATCATCAGTGAGTCCCATGGGACAGGAGAGGGGAGGCTTCCACTGCCTTGGAACCAGAGGAGGGAGCGAGGACAGCATGATTAATGACCCCGGGGTGGGGGGGCGATGTGTGAGGTGCACAGAGATTTCAATGCTCTCCCTGCTCCTGTCTACTAGTTCTGATTGGGCAGAACACAGCTGACTCTTCCTTCTCTGAGAGTCTTCCTCCTAAAATGGATTCATGTCCTGTGTTTTTCTCTGGAGAGATGAGTTATCTTTTGTTTTCATTAACTTAAATAAAGTGAATCTGCAACACATGGGAGATACCTAGTATGGACCCATCCTCTCTGTCTCCCCTACTCTCTTCAACTCATCTCATGAGAGACAAAGAACAGACAGGAAATATGGACTTTGAAGCCCAAAGCCTCAGGTCTCGGACCTGACTGACCTATGTTTAATCTCTAGGGACTCAACAGAATACCTGGTCCCGAGAAGACAGATACTATACGAATGATGAATGGACGGATGAATGCATGGAATGGGTGATCAGATGGATTTGACAGATGGATAGACAGGGTGACAGCACATCTCTGAATGGGACTTCTTTCCACTTGTTCCCTTGGGAAGGAGCTCTGGTAGAATAGGGGTTAAGGCAGTTTGACAGCTAACTAAACATCAGTGGTTCAAACTCACCAGTCACTCTGGACGAAAATGAGGCAGTCTACTTCTATAAAGATTTACAGCTTTGCAAACTCTATGGGGCAGTCCTACTCTGTCCTTTAGGGTTGCAATGAATCTGAATTGTGGTGCTGGAGAAGAGTCTTGAACATACCATGTACTACTGCCAAGAAAAGAAATAGGTCTGTCTTGGAGAGGGTGAAACCAAGTTTCTCCTTGGAAGCTAGGATTTTGAAGCTCCACCTCACATTCTTTGCACGTTGGTCAGGAGAGACCAGTCCCTGGAGAAGGACATCATGTTCGGAAGGGTGGAGTGACAGCACAGGAGAGGAAGACCCCGGATGAACTGATACAGTAACTAGGGCAAGGGGAGTAGATGTGTCAGAGTCAGTGAGACCGGCTCAGGACAGGGCAGGCTTTAGAGCTATTGTACATAGGGTCTCTGTGAGTCTCAGGTGACTCGATGGCACATAGCAATAGCAGCAGCAGTGGGGTTTTTGTTCCCCTAAGAAGAAGGAGATGGAGTAAAAGGAGATGGGCTCCCAGCATCATTCATTCATTCATTCATTCACAAGCACCTTTCACGGTCCTGCCACTCACTGAGCCGCTCCCATGTACGAGAACTCAGATCAGGTGATAAGCGGACAGGATAAGGAAGACCTGCCTCGACTCCCAGGACCTTGGTGCTGAGCTGAGTTAGCAGACACACAACAGATCATTACTACACACACTGCGCCCAGAACACAGACAAGGGAGCTAACGCCATCCAAGCCTGAGCAGAGGAGATGCAGAGGCAGGCGTGGGAGCTGGATGAAGGGAAGAACAGTGTCTCAGATGGAAGACTGCTACCCATTCTGTGAGGGCTACTGATGGAAAGAGGTGACCTAAGGAGGGGAACCCAGATGCATATTTGGATAATAAGGAAAGAAAAACCAAATAATTACTGTTGAGTTGATTCTAACTCGTGTGTCAAAGCAGAAATGAGTTGCACAGGGTTTCCTAGACTACGACCTTTTGGAAGCAGACTGATAGTCTTTAGAGGTGCCTCTGGGTGAACGTGAACCTCCAACCTTTTGGTTGTGAGGTGGCTGTGTTACTCATCTGCACCACTCAGGGACTCCAGATGACAAGGAA